AAGGTAAGGCCCGCGAGGTCATTAATATACCAGAAGAAACGATGGTTGATAATGAGTAATACACCAAATTCTCATAAGCACAACCAAAAATATAGCACCCTTCTATCTCACCATGTGAACGTGGGAAAGGGTGGACCAAACATGGACATAGCGCTGCAACAAGCTTGGGATGCAGAAGTGCACATAGTCATGGTTCAAGAACCATGGACCTTGCAAGAAGATGGAGAGTTTAGAACGAAAAGCCATCCTGGTTTCGATAGTTTTATACCCTTTGGAAACACGACACCGAGACCACGACCACGCGCTGTCACTTTTGTGAGAAAAGGACTCCAAGCGGCTCAGATCTCACCCTCGTCATCAAGCCAGTCATCAGACTACTGTTTTGTGCAGGTGTGTGGACTGACATTTGTAAATGTCTACCGTGCTCCAGGCCATAGTGAGACTTTGGAACCATTACTAAGCTGGCAGCCAAGTGGACCCTCAGTAGTAGGGGGTGACTTCAACTCAGTCTCACAGTATTGGCAGCCATTAACAGAACGCCAATACGGAAATGGTGATCTCATCATGGGGTGGGCCCGCAGAAACAACATGCAGCTACTAAACACCTTAGGAAAAAGTACTCATCGCGATGGAAACGTGCTGGATCTAACCTGGAGTAATATGACGGCAGCTGCATCGGTATCAGCGCGGTTCGACTGTACATCAGACCACTCCACCATTGAAGGCTCGGTTGACACACCTGGATGCTCGCAGCTATCCAGGATCCCGAGGCTAATCCGCGTAAGAGACGGTGACCTAGACGAGTTTGCTCGATGCGTAAGGCAATGGGTAAGGCACGGCCCCCTCAGCAGTCAAACCGAGATTGAAGACTTCACAAAGAGCTTAATCAAAGTACTTCAAGACGCGATCAAAGTTGTCGGTCGAATACCCGCGGTGGGAAGGGAAAAACAGCGCCTTGGTGGACTGATGAATGTAAAAGACGTCAGTTTGACTACAGGACAGCCAAAAGGACAACTGGAGATATAGTAGTGACACGTAGGGCTTTTCCGGCCGCAGTGAAGAGAGCCAAACGTGAATACTGGACAAAGCAAGTCGAGGCAGCAGAGACAGAAGCAAAAGTGTTCAAACTTATGCGATGGGCCAAACCGAAGCCGACGAAACAGCCTCCTCCTCTCCGGGTATCACCAAACGAGTGGCTTTCAGATCCACTAGAGCGGACAGTTGCGTTGCGAGATTCTCTTCTTGCAAGGTATAAAGCGAGAAACGACATCGATACGTGGGAGAACAGTCAACCAGAGTTGATTCCATGGGATGGAGAGGTCTCACTGGAGGATGTCACAGCATCAACCATTGGCAGCAAAGAAACAGCTCCGGGGTTCGACAAGATTACCGGACGACTTCTCAAAGCCTGCTGGAGCACGATTGGAACATACGTCAGGGACCTCTTCCAGGCTTGTCTCAACTTGCAATATTTCCCTACGCCTTTCAAGGTGGCGGAAGTTGTGCTACTTCCAAAAATTGGACGCGACCTCTCCAGCTCAAAAGGATGGCGCCCCATATCGCTACTCTCAAGCTTAGGCAAAGGATTGGAAAGGCTCATAGCTAAAAGGATGTCCTGGCTTGCATTAAAACACAAGGCAGTACCTCCACAACTATTCGGCGCGCTACCAGGACGCTCAGCAGTCGACTTGGCATCATGTGTTATACACGATGCAGAAGCTGCAATGAGATCCAACAAAGTCACAGCTATGGTCACGCTGGACATACAAGGTGCCTTCGATGCAGTGCTACACAATCGGCTGCTCGCACGAATGCGAAGTCAGGGCTGGCCAGTACTACTCTGTCGCCTGGTAGAATCATTTCTGAAACAACGAAAAGTTTTGGTGAGACACGAAAAAGGTGTAACTGATGAGAAGCTTATTGAGTGCGGAGTTCCCCAAGGATCACCACTATCGCCACTTTTATTTATGTTATAGATCTCAATCCTACTTGAAGATGGAACCCCAAACTGTATATTCGGATATGCAGATGACATTGCCATTGTTTGCGTCGGTAAAAATCCTAGAGAGGCTGTTGAGGCTGCCCAGGTAGAAGTAGACAGGATAATCCATCGCGCTTCAACGCACATGATAAGGTTCGACCCTTCTAAGTCCGAGCTCCTGGTTATAGGAGGAGGACCGAAGAAGAAACTAGACTCATCCAACCTCGCGGTCAGGGTTGAGGGACAGCTTATTACGCCTTCTGCGTACATTCGATGGCTCGGGGTCTGGCTCAATTCCCAACTGACGTTTAGTGCGGCTCCGGGACCATTAATCCGTGCAGTGAACGCATGTGTAGTCAGTACGGCAATTTATGGCGCTGAAGCTTGGTGGCCTGGACTCACCCGTATCACGACGGTACGAGATAAAAGAGTAAGTACGGGTGTCGGATGGCACCTCAAGTTACTAGATAGAACTATTTTGACTGCTGTTCGAGCCGCACTGCCAGTGTGGCGAACTACACCAAATATAGTTCTGCACCGTGAGTCAGGGATACTACCAGCAGAAATTATGCTACAGCAGCGACAGCTCCGAAATGCAGCCAGAATCCGCAGACTCGACAGCTATCACCCTTTGTCGTCAAGGGTAGCTGAGACACCAAAGGAAGCAATTAAGCGACTCAAACTGAGAGAGGGGCAAAAAGATCGTGTCTTCAAGTTTCCAGAGCGATATCTGACACGCCTTCAGAATGGTAACCTCAACCTACCGGCATCAGAAGGGCCTGGACAGCTTTACCACCCGATGATCGCGAGGGCTATGGCTAGAGCCAAATGCGACAAGGAGGAAAAGTCGAAGCGGACTAATAATTGGCTTAGAAATCTCCCTGTAGGGACGCTGTGTGTATATTCTGATGGGTCATCGACTGGTCCAGCATACTCAGCCTATGGCTATGCTATATACAGGGACAGAGAACTCATAGCGAGTGGTGGAAATTTTCTCCCTGGAGCAGAGGTCTTTGATGCAGAAATCGTCGGGGCAGTTCGAGGCCTAGCAGTGGCGTCGGAAATTGGAGGTAGTATAGGTATCAAGGTGCTCCTCGACAATCAAGAGGCGGTAAGAGCCCTTGTGAGTGGTAGAACGAGCTCTTCACAGTCTGAGATCCGTAATTTTATTGAACTATCCAAGGCTCAGCCTGCCGTAGAAGTCCACTGGGTTCCGGGACACAGTGGTGTTGAAGGGAACGATAAAGCCGACGCAATTGCAAAGGCAGCCCTTGCATCAAAAACCAGGGAAGGAAATATCCCGAGACCAGAGTGCACTCAGGAGGAATCTGACAAAGTCCTGACATTCGCAGCACTTAAACGCCAAGTCACAATACGAGTACAGAAACTCGCGGAAGATTGGTGGCATAAAAATAGATCGGACAGGTATGAAGATCTGGACTTACTGATGCGAAGAAAACGCCCTCCGGAGCTAGCTTTACCTCGATGGGCATATCACCGCCTCATTGCGGCAATGACTGGGCATGGTGATTTCGCTAGCTATCACAGACGATTTCAACATCCGAATGAAGAAATGCGATGCAAATGCGGACGAGAGAAACGGCCATGGCATTTTGCAGAGTGTCGCCCGACCATCCAGAAATGGAGGACGGAAACGAAGGAGCCACGACCTACGACAAGGGATATGATAGGGCAAGAAGGATGGCAGATATTCTGGCGCTTTCTAACTGTAACAAAATGTTACAGCAAAATTGAATCATAAACAGGGAACTTGAATGTCAGCTGTATTGCTTCTTAGGGCCGCTCAGTGTGGCATGAGGATGGAGGTGTAGTGCAGGGCGCTAGCACCTCAGAAATGGTGTTTTTTTTTTCTTTTTATTTGTTTTGTTTCTGTATTTCTGGCTCCTATGAACCAATCATGTAGGTAGCGAAGAGTCTTATATAGATCTGGACTACCCGTGCCATGCCCCCTGGGTGCTGGGTCAGTACCCGGTCACGATAAAAATATCATCATCATCATCATCTCGCGGTGCATGTATACATGGATGACGAAGGCATGCTTGGATAACCAAAAGTTTTGATACTCACTTTGGTGGGTACTTACGGATTAGGGTCGATTGTTTGTGTAAGCGAACATACCTCGTAGTGGTATTTACGAATGAAATCCAGAGTATGAGTGTCTCTAACATCAAAAGAGTCATCCAACATGTATACATAGCACCGGCCATGTGTCACAGTTAGGAAGCTGAATACACATTAAATGATTTAAAAAAAATGTGCATCTCTCTGTTGCTGAGTCATTTTCGTGATGACTCAGCAAACACCACGAATTACACGCTCATAATGTTCACGGATAGAGAAGAAAGAAACAATACATACTTCGTTTTGGAACCTTTCGTTTTTCACTGCATGAAACTTATGTATACATACTTTAACGCCAATCTACATAAACGTTATCTTGCAGCAAGTATTCTGTCACGTCAAAGGTAAAGAAGTAATTCCGGCGAGAAGCTTTCATTATTTCTTCGCTGTTTCCCATGCTGTGGGGGATATTATAATGAGTGGCAGCTTCTCTAACAAACGAAATAGTGCTCTCGAGCTTTAGGGGAAAATGAACAAGTTCACTAGCCTGGTGTCCGTGATGATTGAACACGACCGCAAACACCTCCGTTACATACAGAACAAATTAGGCAATAAGGAAATCTTGTTGTAAAAGAACCAGCATTACTATCAAGTAGCTTCAGAAAATATCAAACAGATCGTCGGACGAAGGCAGAAAATCCATACTTGAACTTCATAATTAGTGAATTATGGTTAAAATTATATAAGTTGATGTGTCCGACTTTGCATCAATAATTCAGAATCCCGCAAAGACCAAAAGTTGTATCTGAAGGTCCCGATAACAATCAAATTCCTCTGCCACGGGATTGCGGGTTTGTGGATATATCAATCTAGAGTTTGAGGCAATTATACTTCAAAACTGAAGGCTAAATTGTACCAGGTGACCTTGAGGGTGGAACTAACGAGAGCTCTCAGGAGGAACCTCATACGCGGGAGCTCTTTCTTGGACACCGTCGCCCGAGGAAGAAAAGTATGCTACAGAGCCGTGACCAACAAGGTTATCGCGCATCTGTACAGCAGGCCATGATCGATTGCCGTTAACAGCGTTTTTCTCGGCAAGTATAAGCCATTCATCCCACTCACTTGTCTTGGGCGCTGCTCCTCCCCGCTTAACCCAGCCAATCTTCTGAGTTTCTCGGATAGCGTACCACATGGTGCGTGTGAAGCTGGGTTTCTGCCCTATTCCGCCCGTGTGGTCTGAAGTTTGCTTGTGGGCGTCACGACCGTCTTCTGGCGTTACATCTTCAACGTGAAAGTTGGAAAGGTTCCAAAACCTGGTGCGATCGATCAACGATGCGGCCCAGTAAACACCATTAAGCACCATGTAGGACAATCCGATTGCAGCTTGCATAATAAAGCCACAATTACCCATCAAAACGACAGAGACCATAAGTAGAACGGTCCCAACGCCGACTAAGATACGATACCCCTTGGTCTTGATGTGATATTGGCATTCTTCCGTCCCGGTATAGAGTTCTCGAGCTACATCTTCATTGCATTGAACAAGGAGAAAGGCTCCTTCGCGCGTCCGTATAACCACGTCGCCTGCTGGGACCTTGGCTTTGGAAGGTCTATTCATGAGAACAGGCTGCCACCAGGATGCCACACCAACAACGGATGAGACCATGGAGACGGTAACGAGCGCAAGTATAGCGGTTCCATCCTCAATTATTACAGCCCAGACGAGCAGTACACATGTCCAGATGAAAGATATGAAAGTTATGATACTCAAGGGTGAACATTTTCGCGCTGGTATTCGAGGACGGTTGTCAGTTTTAGTTACGCGCCGTTTGATTGTCTGTAGAGTCGACCGCTTAGTTGGAGCCTTAATTCCACACTCTTCGACAGTCAGATCAGTGCCTAATGCCGTTACTGGCGGGAAATCTGTCTTAGCCCGCTCGCCTGCTTCGAGAAGATCGCTTTCGGCCATGCCATACTGATTTCTGTGCGTAATCTTGAGAACCTTGAAAGCGAATGCTGGTAAATCTTCTATAGGATGCAAAATTTCGGGAAAATAGTTGAGTGTGGGAACAAAAGTACCGTTGTGAACTCCCACCACTGCTGCATTCACCTGGGGCATTCGTGTGCGTCGTGTCGGTTTGAGCAAGGCTTGAGGTGCGGGTAGGAGTCGCGGCAGGATGCAGTACCAGGACGAAGTAAGTACTTGAATGTGAGAGTCCATCGACGACTCGCCGATGACGGCTAGCAGAGAAACAATGTCCAGTCGCCAGCCGCCTTCGGCAGCCCTTCCGCGTGGAAACCAGGACTCAGGCATTACGAGCGCTTGGCTTCAGCGACAAACGATTATAAGCGGAGTAAAAAGTTGTGACCCTCTGAATATGGGGACTTTAAAGAGACGCGATGTTATGAATCATTTGAAACCATCCTTGTCCTCTAAAGTGCATTAGCGCGATATGGCTCACATCCTCGAGGAAAAACATATTTCTCGATTCAAAATTATTAAGGGTTTGACTTCACACCATGGGATCTACAGAATTTCAATTGGGCTCATGAAGCACCTCTTCGACGCAACAAGCTTCTAGATTATCCATTCGCAAGATAATGAATTCGTCCGAAAGAGTGAACGGGATCTTGTGAGCGTAAGTATATAAATATTACGCTAATCCATATTCAGTAGATATGAATATTTTTCTTTTTGAGAGACATTACCTATTACCAGCCCTGTCTTGATCACGGATTGGATTTCAAGATGCCCCACTCAGATGCTTGTCAGTTAGTCTGGTCTCTTCTGTGTGATATAATCCATAACTATAGAAACTCCATGCATCACCCTGTTCCGATGTCAGCTGGACAAAGAATTGTAGCTCAGACTCAGGGCGAATTACTTAGTAAGATTACTTACTGAAATTTAGCAAAACGCTCTGTAGACGTGGTGTATATGTCTTATCCGCGTCGATTTTTGAGGCGCAGTGCAGCGAGCCACTGCGCCAGAAGACTCGCAACATATACTCTGCATAGTTCTATCGCTCTGCGAGGCCGGAGTTCATGGCTTGTTTCGGCAATCGAGACAAGCATATGGCTCCCATGCTAGTAGACGTCATTTTCGCGAGGCTGGTTACAGGGATATATAAGTGGAGAGAAGAGCCCGCAACGGTTCGCCCGTAGTGGCTCGGCACTTGTATCTGCCGCCCAACGTAGAGACTCTTCTGTCCATCTGGAAGCCCATATAATTGCGGCAGCAAGTATCAGACCCCTCTTCTTACCCCACACAATGAGCCGGCGGCCTTGACGTCGGACTAACAGAAAACTCATGTTTTATCGTGTTTTCTTATCATCCTGCTGTTGTGACTAATTACCATCTCGTCGTTTCTCTCTTCTAGAGGTCGTTAACGCTATTCCCCTACGCACAAAACCGTTGTGGATATTATGAGTCAGCATGCAGCCGAGTCCAGCCACGTTACTATAAGCCTGACCCAGGACTTCTCACTCGCAGACGACTACCGCAGCTACATCTCAGGAAGTTTGCAACCCTGTATGACGCACGGTGATTATCGGCTATCCCGATCGGGACAGCGCGCTACCGTATCGCACCCGTCTGGGGTGACCAGGCTCCCACTCCATAGCTGGACTCAGACTCAGTAACCGTCTCCAGTATCTTCCACAATAGTGGGAGAAACTGTTATCCCAAAGCTAAGTTCATTCAAATTTCGCAGGACCAAAGATTTCGGCCTACGAGGCAATGATTCAGAATTCTCCACCAAATTAATCTTCACTACTAACAAGGCCGATTCCTGCCTAAGCCTCATCATGTCTGCAAGTACGACCTTATATATCCTTTCAATAACAGCTGTCATCGAATCAATCTCTGGCTTAATTTCGCCCTCAAATACACGCCTACAAGGATATGAAGACCAGAAAGAAGACAAAACTTTGGTGTGCAAGCCTGGGAGGTAGATCTTTGGAAGGATGTCAGGGACGAGAACAGATTTCCAAGAAAATGCGAAGAAAAGATACAACTTCTAAAGGGTCGAATTTTTGATTGCATTCCAGTAGCTTATCGCAGCCAAGACACATCTGATCTTCTGAGGCGTTAGGAGAGGCCGTCTATCAGAGGCCTGCATGTACCAACGGAGGAGGGTCGACTATTTGTCTAGGTAGACAAGTCTCTCTGGTATTCGCGAATGAAATCCAGAATGTGTATATCGCGAACGTCAAAAAGGTCATCCAACATGTGTATATAGCACCGGTCATGTGTCATAGCTAGAAAGCTGAATACAAATTAAATGATATGAAGGAAAAAAGGAGACGAAACTCATCACCTGTCAGTGAAGTCTCCTACAAACCTCCAGTCCTCACTGAAGGGTCTGCAGAGCCGGGATTTAGTAACACATTCGTCCACACTTCGACGAAGATTAACAATCGCTCTCGCAGTCTTTAAGGTCTTCTTATCTCAGCACAGTTCACTAGTACCATTGTCATGAAGGTAACCACGATCAGATCAGATGCTAGGTACGAAGCTCTTCTTGTCACTAACCCTTGATCATGGAGCAAAAGCCATTCGATGAGTTTCCGGAGCGCACTCAGTACCCAATTCGGCGATGGTGAATTTCATCAAGTTGGCTTCTAAGATTACCAAGGAGCGAGATATGGGTGGATATACGTACCTCATGTGGCCCCGGCGTCAAGGCTTTGCCTGGCTGGGGCTGAAGGTTTTTTGGGAAATTCTCCCATGCACGCAGTTTCTATTACTGCCATTTCTTCAGGTAGGAGGATCAAGGGAAAAAGATGGCTGAATTCCTCTGGTAAATAATAAGATGAATGACTATTCATGATGGGAAATATATCAGTGATCTTCCAATGTAGAAATGGGGGATAGGAGCATGGTACAAGATAAAGCTTGGATCGTAGAAGAACCTCATGTGCTAGATAATCATAGAATCAGAAAGCATGATAAATACACACAGATTTTGGAACTATAATTCTTCGAGTCTTCCACTTTCCCCCATCTCCCATGCTCTTCGCATCTATCAGAAAATTGTGGTGAAGTTGCTGGCAATTTCATCATGCCACCCGTCTGGAAATGGCTTCCCAGCGCTATGTTTGACAACTCGAGAGTCCATCCCATGACTCTCGCACAAATGCCAGTCATTTTCCAGTCTCGCATATGCGTCGAGATGGGCCAGGCCTCCAAGGGAAGGAAATAGCCTTCTTCGATGTCAATGAGTCCGATGCTGACATGACCGGGTCAGTTAAAACTGTTGAGGAATCCCTCAATGTGCCTCTACCTCCCATGGCATTGGAGTGTTGTGGTCTAACGCTTTTCATTCTCGGACTTCATGGTGAGTGGTAGTTGTATGGCACTTGATGCTATGTTGGGGAGAAGGAACGGAATGGCGAAAGCCGCTAGCCGGACCTAAACGATGTGGCCCACTTATAATTGGAGAAGTCCCTACTGTATATAGACTAATACAACTCCAACTAGTTCAACAACAATAATAAGGAACTCAAATATCCATATCCCAGTCATCTCATACACCGTGACCCATAAACCTCTACCTCATCTCTACCACTAAACGACAAAACTTCAACATGGAGGACCGCCAAATTCTTCTCCGACTAAGATAAAATCGTTAGAGAAAGCTGCACGAAAAGTAGCTTCACCTTAAGAGTCGCTGCCTTAAGTTGCCATCAACGTACGCTGTCACCTGGAGCATCGACCAGTTCTCAAAGGCGAAGAACGACGCGCCGCTGCCAGCAAAGACGAACTCTTCTCCTTCTAGTAGTGCCGGTATAATCGCTCAACTACTGTGCATTTCTAGGATAGCCGAGAAGAATTGCAATCAAGTCGAAGTCGAAAGCAACCTCAACCTCAAGCACATCTCTATTTGACGACTTCTCGATAATGCCGCTTGTCGGGCGCAGGTTCACTGGGCGCAAGACTCGAGGCATAGGAGAGGGCGTAGCGTACGAGGTACTGAGCAAGGACGCCTCGTGAGGACGCGGATGGCTTTCTAGAGAAGCGGTCTAGAAAAGCGGTTAAGAGGAAGGCGGGGGGTCGTTCTATATAAAGGGGCCGGAGGTGATAGTAGGACACTGTGGCTGGCAGGACGAGAGTGAGATGTGATTAGAATTATGTAACTATTCCTAAAGATAGAAAACAATGCGTGACCATCTCTGTCTTGCAAATCAAAACTATATGCCATGGTGACACGACCTAAAGTTTGCAGTGGATTTAAATGGGGTACATATTCGCTTCAGGTATAAGTACCCCTGTTAGCGCCCATTTCGACAGGGTACATAACTCTTGTCCTGTATTTCCAGGCCTAAACCAAGGGCACAATTTGATTTCATGTCATCCTCAGTTTTATGCACATCCAACCCGCTCTCTAGTTCTTTCCCATTGCTTTGATGAGCGCCGACCGCTAAAAAATTATACAGCTTTTTTTAACTTGTGCTTGAGTGACAATAAGAATTAAATTTATCAAATACAAAGTTATTTACTCAGAAGACATATGGCTTTACTCGATACTAACCTTATTTTGCAGATGAATCCAGCCCAAACCCCACTTTCAGCACCTCGAATCTAACAATTATCCAGAGATCAAGACAATTTAGTAAGAAGAAAAATTTAAATGGACGAATTGAAATTAAAAGAAAATTTTGGATTTCTGGGCTCCCTGAATCTGGCCAAAACTAGACGCAGATTGCTGTGCAACTAGGCATTTCTCGGGGACAAGTTAGTTCACTGCGCCGCGGAACTGTCTCCCCCAAAAAGAGAAAAAGAACATCCTCAAGGCTGAAAGCAGATGATGTTGATCAGATTGTATCTTACGTTGAGTCTTCTCCTGGAAACCGCCGCAAAACATTTCTGGAAATCGCCTCTGGCCCCTTAAGACATCTTGGTGTTAGCGAGCGGAAAATACAAAGAGAACTTAAAAAAAGGATATCAGCGACATGTGGCTCGTCTAAAGCCTCCAGTATCTCAGAAAACTATGAAGAAACGCAGAGAGTGGGCCGAAGCTCATCTCAATTGGACACATGAAGACTGGACGTCAGTTTTATGGACAGACGAAACTTGGGTAGAGGATGGAAGATATTCTAGAGAATGGGTGACAACAACTGTTCGTACATTCCTCTATAAGAAGATAGTAATTTGATGCTCTAACATCATGAGCTAGACTTCCCAAGAACATAACGCTGATTGTGTTGGAGAAAAATCGAAAAGAGTGGGCTGGGTGTTCTGGGGTTGCTTCGGATGGCCAGAGAAAGGCCCCTGTTTGTTTTGTGAGATGGAATGGGGGTCCATTAACTTCC